TTAAGATGTGTGGACTTGAACTCCCAGAATTCCCCAGCCAGCATGCTGGCTGGGGAATTCTAGGAGTTCAAGTCCACACATCTTAAAGTTGCCAAGGTTGAGAAACGCTGGTCTAGAAGATGATGTGAGCTGCTGGCAGGAGACAGACTGTAGCTGACCTTGGCAAGATCCATGGTGGCTGGGGCATTCTGGGAGTTCAAGTCCACACATCTTAAAGTTGCCAAGTTTGAAAAACATGGTACTAGGCAAAATTGAGGTTGGGTAGTTTGTAGTTCAATGTATTAAAAAAACACACCTAGAGATGCAGATCTGTAGTGAGACCAGAGGGAGCAGGCTGGTCTGGATTGAAAACTAGCATGTTATGAAGAAAACTAAATGACAGAACCTTTCTTTCTCCATGCTGTTTTTCCGGATGCAAAGACACGGGTGAGAAATATCAGCCAGAAATATCAATCACTGCATTTTCTTTCCCCCTGAATGTTTTGTCCCCAAGAGTTGTGCCGTGCAGTGTAAGTGGAGAAATAGGAGTTGAATGCGAAACTAATGAGAAGGAGGCGATAATGCAAATTCGAAATTTTCTTTCCATAGTCCCACCTCTGCATGCGACAATTACAGTGGCAGATGGAAAGGTGAGACGTGGCCAGTCGGTGACGCTGACCTGCAAATCGGGCAGCAGCAACCCTCCTGCTAGTCTCGCTTGGCTCAAAGATGGAAAAAGGTAAGTAACTCTTCCCGTGACCATCTTCTCCAAGCTTCATGGATGGTTCTCTGCCTCTCTTTGTAGGCTTTGCCTCTTTCTGCCAAGACTGGCTAGAATTAAGCCAAGACTGCCAAGTATTAAGCCTGAATGGCTTAATTCAGGCATAGCAGCTGAATGCTGTTCCTTCTGAGTTCTTCCAACAGCATCAGTTCACTGGGTTTGGGGCTTTTTTCCTGAACCAATGAGACTATTGTATAACATGTGGAGCCCCAAGTTTAATTTTGCATCCAGAGGTGTCTGCAGGGTAGGTAAAAAAAAATAATAAAAAAAAATAGGGCAGCTGCGTTGGTGTGATTGAAGCTCTGCCTGTTTTTTATGTGTGTTGTACAGATGGAGCTTTGACTGCATCATCGCGGCTGCCCTCCTAACTTTCTTGACCATACCCTACAGACTCCCCTGGTTGCATCAAATCAGAAATCTCTCCTGTCATATTAAGAAGAAGGTTGGTTTTTAGAGGGAAAGCTTTTCCCTCCCTCTCGGATTAAGATTTGAGGATCCCTCAAATATGCCAAAAGCTTCCTGGATACTGTGGACCCATCTGGGTCATGTGTCTTCCCACAATGTCATCAGAACAACAAAAGAAGGAGAAGGAAGATAATCTTTGCTGTAAATAACTAATACGGAAACACTCCTCAGCTGTCACTTTGTATTTCCACCAGTTCTCAGTCCTGACCCAACAAGCTTCTGACTTCCCCAGGCTTAGCTGTAATGTCAGCATAAGAACTGGACAGCTGAATCAGTCCAAAAACTTCATTCGATCCTGCTTTCTGTTTCTGACAGCAGCATGATACAGGCCTGTCAGAGAACTTGCAACTGGGGCTATAAAGGCATCAGATCTTGCCTCTTGTCCATCCCCTGCAGCTGGGCTATGTTGATAGACTGTCTCTGAATATAGAGGTTCATCCTTTGACTCTGCCAGAAACAATAAGTTCGGCTGAGATAATCTTCATGCTCTCTCTCCTTCAGGCTGAATGGCATTAATTTAGGGCAAAAGAAAGCAGAATATGGAGGCTTCTCCACATCAGAAAGGGTGACTCTGATAGTGTCATCTGCAGATCATGGAAAAAGGGTGGAATGCCATGCCTACAGCCCTGAACTCTCTGAAGGCGTGAATACCTTCTACCAGCTTACTGTCCTATGTAAGTATGAAAGCTTCCTGTAACTTCTATTTACAGTATCTGAAGAAAAGTTGTTGGAAGTTTAGCCCTGAAAATGAACGTTTTGAAATTTTGGTTCAATTTATTTGCTTTAGGCAGTCCTTCCCTATAAATGATCTAAAAAGTGTCCCATCCAGGCAGATTAATACTATAAGTGATTCAATAATAGATTTGTAGTGTGTTCCTTTGGATCATTCGGTGAGCCAGATACCACCTGGAAAGTAGGTGGCACTTGTCACGTATATCTGATATTCAGTGTGATGGGTCTAATAGCCCTGCAGCCTTTGTTGTGGACACTGATGTTCCATTGTCTAGAAATTATGCTTGATTACTTGGATAGTAGATGGATGGAAGATTTCCAGGAAATTCCAGGGTTATAGGCTGTGAAGACTGTGAAGTTAGGAAAATATCCTGGAAGAAAGCAATGGCAAATCATCCTCTTGTGCCTAAGATGATTTGAACTTGACTTCTGTGGGCAGGGGAATAGATGTTATTCTTGGCTGGACAGATCTAGTATATAGGCAAATGACCCAGAAAGGGGAATGTCTCAGTTTGCAATCCTGGCTCTAAACATCCATGGGCTGTCCTCCAAAAATGTGACTTCTGTTCTTTCACACAGTTCCTCCAGAATTCTCCCCTGAGCAGACTCTCCTAGTGCAAGCTGTGGAGCATGGGTCTGCCCAGTTACCCCTTTTGGTTTCTGCCAGCCCTCCTGAGATTACCTATCGCTGGAGCTTCCTTGGAGAGGTGGTCTTAACAGGTGGGTCTCACAAAAGTCTTAGGATGAAGTTCAGAGAACTGGGACTGGGGTAGGGTAGGGTAGGGCTTAGTGTAGCATAAAGCGGAGTTAAGGGTTGAATGAGGAGGAGAAAGTCATTGTTAAAGTGTGTGAGTTATAAAATAAGACAAAATGTCCTCATGCCAGAATGGCTATACATAAATGTGATTGATTTGATTGATTGATTGATAAATAAATTAAGGGCCAAACTGATGGCATATTAAAGGGATATTTGCATATAGCTGGCATATAGCAAAGCACCAACACAGCCTGTGCATGCAAGATCACAACCATCTTATAGTTGACTGGGAAGGGGGAATTTAACCCTTTCTTCTTATGATCTAAAGGAAAACCTCTTTCCTGAAGCTGTGTTTTTGAATTGGGAAGCAGCTGCTTCCATAATCATGGAGTTTTTCCTTCCAGTAGAATCAGTAATTTCCAAGGATCAATTTTTTCTCTGGATGATACGTCCTCTACCTGCTGCACTCCATAAAATAATCAACCCCTATTTCCTATATACCTGCTTTTTACTTTTTAAAAATGGGCATGTTAATTGCAAAGCTGCATTTGATGTCCTGTCTAGTTTGACTTCCTGGAAGACCACAGAGGGAGAAGACGATGATGGGAACAAGAATAAATGGGAAGAATAAGCTTTTAGTTCTGTTTATGTCAGCCTTGATTTAATTCCAGTAGGGAATGAAGATGAAAAGTCTGTGTCAAGCATTTTGAAAGGATTGGAAGGAAAAGAAAAAAGAATCTGGTGTAAGGGTGGAGCCATTGAAAAAGAACCAGTGGGCCTTGACACAGTCAAGATAAATGGTGGACAGGAAGAAAGAAAGTGATCAGCAGGGATAAATCAAGATGGGAAGGTAGAACATTCAGGAGGAGCCAAGATAATAGAATAGGACTGTTAACAGCTTTTGGGGGCCACAACTCAAAAAAATATGCTGGGCTGGGGCAAACAACTAGATATGACAGGGTGAAATCTAAACTTGATTTAATATAATTTGTATCTCAACTGAATCACAATTATATTACACTAATTCGATGCAGGTGTACTGTTCCTGTATTTTATATTTGTTCTTCCTGGTGGCCAACTTTTGGAGACCTGAAGGGGTCCTGAGGTGTCCGTTGTGCACTTTTGCCATAGAGGACTGTGAATGTAAGAGTATTAAATGGCGGGTTTGTCCCTCTTAGATTTTCTTGCTCCTGTCCCTAAGTTCTTCACAGTCAGTGAAAACAAAAGATGGAGATTTGCAGGGTGCAAGCTAAGAGGGATCCTGAACTTTAGAACTCATGGCAGGGGAACCCCTCACTGGAGTGAGAGATAGGGGCAAAGCACTTCTGATGCAGAAGAACTTTTGAACATCGTGAATCATTGATCATGGTTGGCTTGACCCATGAAATCCCTTCCTCCCTGTCCTGGTGCTCCAAGTGCTTGTTTCTTTGTGGAGCTTGACTTGAGATGGATTGTCTCTGAGTCTGTCATAGAGGGTTCCCCACGGTACCACTTGCGGGATGGTGGATCTCTGGAGATCTGGAATGTGACTCGAGCTGATGCTGGCAAATATGAGATACACTGTGAGAATGCAGAAGGACGAAATGAAAGAACCATCACCTTGGAAGTGCACTGTAAGTAACAGATTGGGAGGAATACTGTATATATCCTGACTCCACTCATCTATATAGACTCAACAGAAGAAAGGGTTGGTTTAACCCAGCCTTTTCCAAGCTGGCTCCATCCAGATGTGTTGGGCCAACTTCCATTAGGCCCAGCCATAATGGCTAGTGGCCAGGGATTATGGGAATTTTACTCCAAAATGTCTTGAAGGACTCAGATTGAAGAAGGATGGAGTTCTCTTTCTTGCAATGATACCAGGGCGCACCCTACTCTTTTTAAAAAAATTCTTTACAGTTTCTTCTAAGCTGGTCTGTGTAATCAACTGGCCTGTTATACTGTGTTATGAGGATTCCTGCACTGGGCAGGGGGTTGGAGTAGGAGACCTTCAAGGTCCCTTCCCACCCTATGATTTAGCAACATCACATCTTGGGGCCAGTGCTTGGTCACCATCTTTCTCCCTTCAGATTTCTCAGGTGTAGGTCTGGTGTGTGTGACATAGCTAAAACAACTAAATTTGTTATTTAAATATAAACTATTTACTTCTATATGTAATTAATTAATAATTAATTAATGATAAGATAGATAAAATTAATATTTAATTAAATATAAAAATGAATTACTTTGCATAATACGCTAAGCATCACACTCCCACATGCACACCTCCAACCAAAGTTAAAATTAATGGAGAGCTCAGTATGTTGTAGAAATGCAACTGTCAAATCTTGAACCGAGCTTGACTAGACAACTGTGTGAACAGAGCTGTGCTTTTTTTTTATGAACAGATTCACCATCTATCCGCAGCATTGCAGATCCAACTTACGTGGACCTGGAGGGCACAGCTGAAATTATGTGCCAGGCTGATGCCAACCCTACACCGAAGTTCCAGTGGAGGTGGCTGGTAAAGATCTAGGGCTAAACCAGGGGATATAAGAGATTTAGAGCAGGGGAAGACTTGGTATTGATTTTTTATGCTAACTCTGTAGTGGTGCCAGCAGGGGAAGTTTTCTTTTTCCAATTAAACTGATGTGATGTGGCCATGCCAAGTGAGATGACCTTTTCTCCAACCTCCTTTACAACTTGATGGCTAATAATGGTTCTTTAACGGCCACTGACAACTAAAAAATACTTTCTTTAACGGCTTTTGTAATGTCGCTCCCAACAATCAGACACGCTGCATGTACTGGGGTGAGCTGGACATAAAAAAGCATATGAATGAGTTTTGCATTTAACTGGCTGGCAGGAATCTTGCATTGCTCCAAGATTATGAGGCTGTTCTGCAGGAGATGATGCGTCTTTAGAGACTGACATTATGTGGTTGGTGGTTTGCTCTGCTTTCCTCAATACATAAATGTAAATAAGGCTTGGGGATTGTTTTTCAGCCCAAGAGGTTCTTGGGGTAATCTTCCAGGAGCTATGGGCCAGTGGTAAGTGGTGCCAAAGACAAACAGACGGTAGGAGGAAAGCCACACATATACAAGCAGAGGTGAGGCATGCTCTGTGGAAAAGCCAGTGGGCTGGGCTGATGGACTGGAGGAAGTCTGTGATAAAGGTAGCTCCTAAGTAATCAAAAGTGAACAGCCTGTTCCTAGATCAGGCTGTTACCTAAACAAACATGAGTGGAAACTCTATGACCATCTCATTCTTGTTAATGGCAGTCTAAGGGTTGGGTTCAGACAACACATTAGGCTAGTCTGCAATGGGAATGGATTGTTTGTGGTTCAGGCATTATGTTAACATGTTGTATGAACCAGGTCACCACCTTAAGTCTCATATGCTTTACTGCTTTGGGCATTATGTCTTATGTGAATACAGCTAATATGTTGCATTGATGGTTAAGTACGTTGTGTGAATATAGACAGTGTTTGATGGGTTGTAGTAGCTAAAGGATAATTCCTATGGAAAGAGTCTCCAGTTGCTGGTTGTATGGCTTAATACAGTCCCCCTCTTATTCTGGCACCTTGTACAGGGCGATTTGGAGCGCAGCCTGGAAGATCTGGGCATTGAACTATTGTCTGATGGACTGGTGGGCAGCCTGCGGGTCCAGGGAGCCCAACGAACTCATGCTGGGCTTTATGAGTGCCAAGTAGACAATGGCATTGCCCCAGCAGCACGGAGCAGTGCCCGTTTGATTGTGCGATGTACGTATTCCGCTAGTCAACCTTCAATATTTCCTAGACTCAAAGGCTCCTTTAAAATCCTATGTTTTCCTTTTCATAATTGCTCGTCACCCATCCCTGGAATATTTCTCTGAACCCCTTGAAGTCACCCCTTTTGTTGCTTCTCTTTTCAGCCCAGCAGCTTACAAATGCAACACAACTTTAACCACACATCTCTTTTCTACTCTAGACCCACCAGAAATCATTAAGGGCCCTGGGCAGAGGAAAGTGGCAGCTTCTGGTGATGGAAGAAGCCAAGCTGTGCTTCAGTGCAGTGCTCAGGGTGTGCCCGGTGTGCACTTCAGTTGGGCCAAGAATGGGGTCTCCCTTGATCTCCAGAGCCCCAGGTGAGATTCCCCATCAGGATGTGAGATAGTAAAATAATAAAGATGTCCTTGAGTTGAGTTTGATTCTTGGTGACTGCATGGACTGCATGTTCCACAGATTGCTGTGGAACAATGACAGTATGTACATGGTTCTTCCAGGATATTTTCTTAACTTCTAATCTAGTCTACAATCCAGGCATGGTGTTCTGCTCTCCCATCCAAGTACTAATCAGGCTTGACCCTGCTTAGCTTCTGAGCCCAGAGGAGATTGCCCAGGTGCTACTACCTGTTGAGACCATCAGTATCTCAGCAGTGAATTTTATTGGGGTCAACCTGTAGCAGCTGGATTCTGAAGCCCTATCTCTTGGTTCCTTCTCAGCTTCATTTTGGTTACTGCCTATAGAAGTCTGCAGGTGACAGGGCAAGGGGAGACCAATGACCAAATGTGCGTTGCAGTGTCACAATGCAAAGCTCATAACTTATGCCCTTGCATCTGACATTGGGACATAACTCTGAAAGGCTGTTGGCATGCATGTTTCATCATTTTTGGGGTTAGGGTTAGGCAAGGGCTTAACTCCTTTCTGGGCAAACGGGGAGATTAAGCATCTCGCCGGAGTTGAACGTTTACAATATTCTGT